AAAAATATTCACGTCAGCCATCAGAGTTGTGATATCTCCACAACCTGAACTCGTGTGAACCTGGAACCTTCAAATATCGATTTCCCGCCCACTCTTACCTAGACTCGTCGCCCCTCTCTACGTTGAGTAACAGTCAGTGTAGGAGCATGCTACAATTTATTTGAAGATAAACCAATGAAAACTGAGTGAGAAAAAAAAAATGTGTTCAGGGTTACTCGAACGTAGAGACTGGGAGAACTTAGTACGGAAATAGGTCAATAGAATCAGCACGTGATGAATAAACGGGACTTAGAAAAATTTCCATGTCTTGAATGATTGGAAGTTGCCGACCAGCGGCGGGCACAAACAGTTTTGGTCAGCGTAATGACAAATGGATCACGTTTCGTGCACCGGCACGTGTCGTTTGTGCGGACATTTTTGGTCTCTGGAGCACAAAAGAACTAACGTTCTGTTTGTGAATTTTTAAGGTCAGGCAATTAAATTTCTGAGGCACCCAGAAGCTCCGGACAACTTATAAGATTCTTCTTGTGCCTTCAAAAGCTGGCCAGCCCACGGACGGTTGAAGAAAGATGCAAAATGGTGTGCCGGCGGTTCACCGGACCGGTTTCACAGCCACTGATCGACCCCTATGTCTATCTGTTCATCTCGTTCATTCCTCTTGTTTAACATTGTCTGAGGCCGCACAATTTTTCTTACCAGTACATTACCCTTATTAAAACACTGCTACGTACTTGGACTATCCATTCTCCTCTTCAAAGAGTAACAGAAGGTCCAATTCATTAGAAAGCTATGAGCGAGCATATGATAGATAGGTAGATGTGCACAGTTAGGCATTGAGTTTCTTCATTTCTTAAAGGATGGTGAGAACCCATTCCGATGTCATTTACCCCTCTGAAAATTCAAACTGGAGTCAGAGCTCTTCAAGATTAAAACAGGGGAATTGGATTGTTTTATTTGCAGTGGGCTCAAAACAGGTATTGAGCAAAGTTAATCTACGTGCCAAATACCAGGGTATACACAAAAGAAGTTTGTATTCCTCAGAAACTCATTTGGTTGAGTTCGAGAAATCAGGACATCGAAATTTTTCCAAGTCCCGTTTATTCATCACGTGCTGATTGTAATGGCCGGTTTCCCTACTAAGTTCGCCCAGTCTCTATGTTCGAGTAACGCCGGATGCATTTTTTTTTCTCCCTCAATTTTGCTTCAATTCACTTCAAACAAATTGCATACTACTACTGAGACTCGTTACTCAACATAGAGCTGGTTACGAGTCTAACTCTTACCCCCGAATTCGACCCTACTCCGAAATTTTAATACCGATTCCCCCTCGTTCTAGCCACAAATCTTTGGGCCGCGCGGACGGATCAAATTGTCCGACATCACTGATCCTTTGATGCCAATTTCTAGCCTTCTTTGTTCAAAAGCACTGGGTTGGGTTAGGACGTCCATTCAACAGGATATTTGCATTTAGGCCCGCTCAGTCTAGCCCACTGGGCATACCTCTACTCAGCTAGACATGCTGAAATAAAGGAAGACTTGAGCCTGGATTGAATGGAAGGGCTAACAAGGTGAACGGCCATAGTTTCAGTTTGTTTGGGTTCCAACGGCGGGGGTAGCGGCCTCCTGACGGCATTGAATGACACTGAAGCCAGCATTGAAGTTGAAGGCTTTCACTGGTCAAGCCATCCAACATCGTTAGCAGGCCGTTTCCCTGCACTTTGGGCCCCAGGCATAGCGAAACTATGAATGCAGGCGAGTTAAATTTTAAAAATTGCAATAATGTTTAAACTGAGCTGACGTCCGTGGAAGACATTCGGGCTCAATTCTTCCTTCAACGTCGTTCAAGGTCAACTCGACTTCGTTCAATTGCCGACTTGGTACTTCGACCCAAGTACTCACGTTATTATGCATCGACTTGCACACCGCTCATTTTACCTCCATCCCTCCCCAGATGTTCGACCTCCCCTCAATCTCTATTACAAATTGACTTGGAGGCCCGAGGTGTGCTTGACCGGCACCGTTGTATCTATAATATTCAACCAATCTTCGATGTTCATTCAAGTCTACTGATATATCCACCTCCATGGAGCCTGGAATTGTTCATTTGACGCTAGGTTTACCATTCCAGCCTTCCATTCATTAATTCCGCGCGCTAGGGCTTCTCGGGCATCTCGGGGATGACTTGGGCCTCGAGTTTATCACCGTATTTCGGCTCGGGGTACATCGTTACGGTGGCCCATTGAGTGGCTAATCTAAATACTCCTTGGCTAGTAGGTAATTTACTTTGGGGGGGACACCATGCAACTCGGCTTGGTTCAAACGGTTCGATTTTCTTTTGGCGGGGTTGAATGAATGAATGTCCGACTAAGCTTCGCATTTTGACGCCACGTAAATTATGTCCCGGTCATTCATTGAAAATACTGTACGATTGTTTGAATGCAGGTATATATACCCGCCAAATTTTCGAACTGATATTCGGACTGACCTTCTTTCGTTCAAATCCAAATGCCTCATTCATTCAACGTAGCCCATCGCTTCACGGGTGTTATTATGCTCTGTGGTCTGAGTTTATTTGCCTCGATAACTCCACTTTGGGCCGATGGTATGGATACTCAGTACTCGACCGCCCATCGGACTCGAAGCCAACCGAACGACGGACGCCGGTTTGGTTTGGTTTGAAGTGTTGATTGCATCTGTAAGTGATATACATATTTTTAATGACCTTCGATGTCTAGGTCTAAGTACAACTCAAGATGACTCACCTGGCCCCATGGGCTCATTCGATGGTGAGCAGGTACGTAGCACCCCCCTCCACTAATCACTAATTCCCCGAGTAGAGTGCACTCGGGTATCGATATCTCGAGTATGACGTTCCGCCCTCCCTCCTTCGAGTTCCGTCCCCATCGTATGTCGGCTTTACTTCGTCGTTGAAGTGTTCTATGGTGTTACTAATAAAGGACGTTCAAGTTGACGGTAATTAATAGTGGTTCGAATACTCACATGAAACTGTGAATACTCACTGCATCGTGAGTCTTCACCCACTTCGTCCCTACTTTAATTTGAGTAGTACTTACCTCGATCCCCAACTTATTGGTCCTGGAGAGTACCCCGCGCAGCAATGCCACAACAACATTCGAGCCGGCGCGGACCTATTCGCCCCGAGGTACGCATTCCATTCCATTCCACGTACTTACTGACCTTCGTTTCGTTTCGTTCACCAGGCTTTTCGTTCAAACTCAGCTGGGTTGGGTTGAAGCGCTAGCGGCTAATTAACCTATTCAATACTGCTGTGAGTTGCATTCAAATGATCCGCTAGTCTTTATGTTACCTACCCTCACCCTAGATCTTGGCTTTACTTGACCGAGGGCGGAATCCGCGCGCGCAAGTAAGCAGTGAATTAAATCCGCGATTTCCTTTGGTTTTTGCAACACAGAGCCAGGCATCGGGCACGATTTCCCTCCCATTCGCACAAGCCGTTGAATCAACTTGAATGCAATCTTTACATGCCAGTCCGCCCTCATCCAGTATCATCCGAGTCTGAGTCCGCACTCCGCAATGCGCGTTATAATAACGATCCCACAGGCATTTTAATTGCGCGAAAACGGTTGTATTATATTCCATTACCACACGGCGTGTGCCGAACGCCGGACCGGGAAGGCTGCGCGACGAGAACGAGGCGACGCGGACATGGGCGGTGATCCCCGAGTGGGAGAACGGCGGGCAAGCAGTACGGGACTCGTGGTGCGCGCCGGCCGGAGTTGTCGTGCGGGGATGGAGATGGGAGGAATGTATAGGGGAGGGGGAAGGAGAGGGGAGGGGAGGACAGGCAAGTGGTGAGGAGGGTGTTATAAGTACTAGGGATGGCAAGGTGGTGGGAGGATGCAGTAGGCGCTCACGGCCCGGTGCGACAGCGGGGGTCGGGGGTCGGCGAAGGCTGGGGTGTACGAGGAACAGACGGGCGCGACAAGGACGGAAACGTGGTCAGTATGCGGGAGCTTTGTTATTGCTTAGAGCACGCACCTGGGACCTTGTTCTACATCCTGTCGCTGACCACACGTTGTACGTGACTTTTGCAGGACGGCGGCGGGAATTCCGGGTGCGCGCGAGGTGCGAAGAGGTATGACGTGACGGCGAGGGGTAGGGACGGGTACTGGCTGTAGATTAATGCTAACGGGCGTAATTAGAGTCGAGGCACTGCGGGCGGGAACGAGCGCGTTGAGATTCTTGAGAACGACAAGGGCGGTGGGGACAGGGGACTGGGGGGAGGCGAGTACGGGAGTCGACTCGGTACTGCGACGGGGAAGGAAAGACTCGAAGGAAGAGAAAGGAGACGGTGGCTGAGAATGAGTCGGTGGACTCAGCAGTGGCGATGATCGCCGTCGCCGTCGGGATGACGAAGATGATGCTGACCAAATGCTGACGTGTTTACGTCACTCTTTTCTGGCCTCAGCACAGCTTGTCTGCATCGAGGCCGCCGCTACCGCCTGCGCCTGCAAGCCTCTCTTCGATGTACTGATAATTTTCTCACAGCACCACCACCGACTTCCAGGCCCAGGCCGGCAGCTGTCTCGAGGCCGAGTGCAAGCCCGCTGAGGCTCCGCCCTTGCTGCCCAGTCTACCAACTGTGATCCCCATGCGTGTCTTTTGCCCGCTCTTTTTTTTTCTGAGTTTTAGCCTCGCAGGGAACAAGACCCCGTCGCATGTGACATGCATTCACTTACCTTAGATGGTTGAACAATGCGACTTAGCGGAAGAACCGGTTCGATTCCGGGCGGGCTCTTAGGCAATGTGCTCATGACACACTTTTCCTCCTGGGGGTCACGGAGGTAGGTCTCAATGTTCTCAATGTTGTATCTACCGTGCGCAGCGTAACCCGAAACCAGTTACTTTTTTCCGTGCCGTTGGCACTGAGTCTCAAATTTCAATCCACATGGTGCATACCACTGTCTGGGTTCATTTATATTTCATACAGACCAAGTCCAATTATCCTCAGAGGATAAGACTCCGTAGCATATGGTATGTGTCCGCTGCCTTTCATGGTGATGAAAAGAATTCAGCGGAAGAGCCTGGTTCGAATCCGGGCGGGGTCTTGACCAGATCTAACTCTAGCACACTTTTTTCGGCCACAGAGTTAGGTCTCCAAGTTCTTGGTGTTGCATAGACACCATGCGCAGGCCGATGTAAGACCAATTTATCTCGGCGCCGATGTTGAGTCTTAAATTTCAATTCACATTGATGCGCTCACGGCACGTCTGAGAGCGTGAGCTGACACAACAAACATCAAACTCAACACTCCGACGACCATGAAACGGGGGTGCGAGTGGGTCACTCCATGTTCAGTACTCGGCTGGTACGCCGAGCAAGGGAACGGGATGGGAGCTGTGGCGGATACGGTGGCGTGGACGTGGACGACAAAGGACAGAACGATGGCGACGAAGGACATGACGTAGGCGGTGGGCATCGATGGCGACGAGGGACCGAAGGGCGAAGTACGAAATATGAAAGGTGAGATGTACTGCTGGTGGGCAACAAACTGGGGAGTACAGGAAAGTAGGTAGGGTTTTTATAGTAAAGAGGGAGGCAGTGCTATCGCAAAATGGAGATAAATCGAAAAGGCGCACAAAGGATATAAATAGAAAGCGCGCCGCGAAACGGAGGGCGCGAAACGGAGGATTGATCGGAGGAGTGATGGCGGAGCGTTATCAAATTCAATGAGTGGCGAAAGGGGTTATTGATACGGAGACGGAGACCACGCGGTGTGCGGAAAGGCGATGTCGAGTTGCGGAGGCGCCCCGATTCGATAAGCCGTGGGAAAGGTGCTCGGTAGAAAGGCGCTATATGTGTATACGCGCCCAGCACGAGCTGGTGCGCATCAACATGCACGCAGTCGCACTGACTCAGGCTGGATTATTTTATTTTGTTGTAGACTTCAAGCCCAATTATCCATCGAGAGACAGGACTCCATGCCGCTACTCTTGATTGGTGCAAGAATTATGATCAGCGGAAGAGCCCGGTTCGAATCTGGGTGAGGTCCTTGCTAGTGCTTGCATATCTTTTTTTTCTTTTTTCTTTGGTCATAGAGTGAGGACTCAAGTAAGGATTCAAAATCCTCTATGTTGTATCATGCACAGCCGACTAGGTATCTTTCCTCCCCAACGTTGGAACTTGGCGCCAGTCTCAAATTTCAACCACATGCAATACAGTAGCACTGACTGGGTTTATTTTGTTGCAGAGTTCAAGTCCAATTATCCAGAGAGAACAGGACTCCGTAGCATGTGGTATGCCTCCGCTTGTTAAGAGTTAGGGTAATTTCCGGTAGTCTAACCAGAAATTAGCAGATAAATTCAATGGCAATCCTTACCCAAAGATGCCTGCCTTAATCTCAAGTTGAACTGCCAAATTACGGTAGGTTAGTACCGTAAAATATGTGCGCAGCGCTGAGGCTTACTCCACTTAGGACAGCTTCCAAAGGCTTAACCAAGCTCACGCGTTAGTTAAGATTTGGGCAGTTAGGCTCTCCGAACAGTTGTTCAACGTGTTCGGTTCACTTCACTTAATTCACACAGAGTTCAGGGAAACGAGATGATAGTATTCAGGTAAGATAGGATACCCCTTTCTGGGTATACATGCAAGCTATATACTAACTACTGACTCATCCTGACTCCAGTCCGGAGTTTCGATGAGTCGAACTTGGGAACCGCGGCAACCGGACCGAAGCCGACTTAAGCCGATGATCCATCATTCTCCGAAACAAGTGTATTCGAGGAAAGAACCGTAGGAATCGTAATCGTAAGTGGTCGTAATCGTAAAGGTTCGTAATTAGAAGGTAGGCATAAAGTAAGTTGAGTGCATCAGACCATGTATCCATAACATAGCCCCCCTGCTCTCAACTTACGGTGTTTAATCCAATTCCGTCAACAAGAGATGATACGCGCGCACGGTTTCCGAATCCTCTTCCATCTTATCAACTCCGGTGTTCATAACTACGTCCATCGGGCATGAAAGGCTGTGCTCGATTGGGTAGAGTGCGGCCGCAATCTGGGTACGACCCTGGAGAACCCCGACATGGGTGAACCAAGGCCGGATTAACCGCACAATCTCTGCCCGATTATAAGACACCGGGACAAAAATTGAGATGCAGAGACACCACATACCGATATCCAGAGCATGATAATTGAACAACCGCCCGCTCAGCCTTTGCAAAAAGTTGTAGGGTTCAGAACCCGCAGCCAGAGACGTGACGACTTGGCGAATAAAGTCGACTTTGCGCATGCCGAGAACGATGCCAAAATGCCATTCAGTTGTCAATCCTTTGAGAGAGCTGCGTAGGATACACTCAGCTAGCCAGAGAACGTGGTAGTCGACCCATTTGCAGAAGGTTTCGGCGGCGTAGATCGCGGCTGCCGGTGTGGGAAAACGACGACGAAGGAAGATGTTCTCTGGGTAGCTGAGGACGAAGGAAAGGCTGGGCATAGTGAGACCGACGTCGCGAAGAGCCGCAATGGGCAGATGAATGGGAATGAACTGTGTTATGGCACTCGTGAGATCGATCCCGTGCGCGGCGGCGTGGAAGAACCGGGCCAGACGGAGCGCGCTGCCCCAGAGAACCCACGCGTCCACGTCGTTGAAGCCCCACGTCACGACGCCGTACAGCGTGAAAGGAAGAACGTCCGTCCTCGAAAAAGAGTGGTATAGGCCGAGGGCGAGGATCTGCGCGAGCACCTGGAAGTAAAGCTAGATGCACAAATTAGCTTCGCAAAAATCACCCTGGTAGCCCGATTACCTGGCCGCAAACGTTCCTGAGACGTTCCAAACCCGGGGTGCTGGAGTGCGGTTGCCGGAAGGGTTGACAATACTGGTTGGTCCGTGAGGGAAGGAGAGTCCAGGGATAGGGGAGGATCCATTGGACGGAGGAATGAGAGTGGGAGCGGATGGAGCAGACAGTTTGAGAGAGGTAGAAGTGGGAGTGAATGAGAAATTGACTCAAAGTAGGGAGTGAGTGAAGAATGCGCACAGAGTCCTTGCCTTTATATCTGGAAAGCCAGAACTTCTATGATTGATTCAGAATACCAAGATGGCGGTAAGAAACGCAAGCGGCGTAGGCGACCTAGGCGAGAGGTTCTTGATTCTAATCTTGCATCGTGCCCTGCCTCGTTGCGCCAACCGGAGAATGCGGAAAGATTGAGGGAATAAAGTAGGCGGGGAAAAATGCATGAGATCAGGAGTGCTCAACCTAGACTATTTGTGGTGAGTCTGGGCATCCCAGTCCATCAAAATGGCTGGTGCATTTCGTAGTGCCCTCCTGGATTTCCACTCATCAAATTCTGGTCCATGCTCTTTCCATCTCACCTTATATTCCTTAACTCTCCGAGCTCCCTTTTTGCGCCATCGTTCAGCCACAATAAAATCAATTTCGGTTTCAGGGACGTCCTCGAAATCAGCTCTGTTTAAGTGCTTAGTAGGGCGACTCCCCAGTTCCGGTGGCGAGCGAAGGTAACGTTCCAGATGCGCGATATTGATGATGGGATTGATTCCGTATGATGTCGGCAATCGAAGTTGGTAAGTGACCGGACTCAACTTACGGATAATTTCGAATGGACCGTCATATTTCATCAAGAGTTTCTTGCCTCTCCCCTTCTCATTCTTTAGGAGTTGCAAGGTGTGAGGATTCAAAACAACAAGATCACCTTCCTCAAATTCAACTTCCAACCGGCCCTCGTTGTAGGCTCTACGTTGAAAAACTTGAGCAAGAAGTAGAGCCTCCTGTGCACGAGATCTGTCGGCCTCAAATTGATCTGCCATTTCCTGGGCCTTCTCGTTGATGATGATTTTATTGGTGTCCGTGCTGTGGGTCCCGCGACGACGTGAGTTGGAAAAGGAATTGTGGGTCCCAGTCATGTCCGACCTTGCCGTACTTCCCGATTCATCCTGCAGATTGGCTGGCTCAGGGGCTAGTGCATCAGAATCTGGATTGCCGTGAGTACTCTCACCTGTATGCCCCCCGTCAGATTCTGCTGTTGGCCGTGGGATAGCGCGAGGATCGGTCATCATCTGACTGCCTGTGATTGGAGAATAGCCGAACAGTAGATAGGACGGTGAAAAACCTGTACTGGTGTGGGGAGTAGTATTGTAGGATAAGGCCAGACCATTGAGGTGAGTGTCCCAGTCATCTCTTGAAGGTCCCACATATGCTCGCAAGGCGATTTCCAGCCCCTGGTTGAGAACTTCGGTCTGGCCATCCGCTTGCGGGTGATACGCGGTTGTCAAACTTCGTTTCATTCCCATAAGTCGACACACCTCTTTCCAGAAATCATTCCTCCACCTTGCATCACGATCGCTAATCACTTGTTGCGGCAATCCCCAGATTGAGAACACATGCTTGAACAGAAGTGTCGCCGTTTCGTCCTCTGTTATTCCGGTGGTGCATGGAATGAATATCCCGAACTTGGTGAGTTTGTCCACGACCACAAGAATATTGTCGTAGCCATTGGATAACGGAAGTTCAGGAATAAAATCAAAAGCAATCACCTCAAAGGGTCTTGATGGAATTGGGATCGGCTGCAAGAGTCCAATCGGTGCGTGGCGGCGAGGCTTCGATTTTTGACAAATATCGCAAGTGCTTGTGTATCGCTTCAAGTCGCGTGACATCCGTGGCCAATAGTAAACTGAAGCTAAGCGATTATATGTCTTGTGGTAACCGCTATGCGCCGCCTCGGTCACCGTATTGTGGACTTCATCAAAAACAGTTACTCGGAAATGTTCCGGAACACACAGCCGATTATTACCTTGCCAGTCCTGGAAATAAAGCAGTCCCGCGTCGCTGTAATGGTACTGTGGGAATCGCGGATTTGACCAATTCTTCTCCACTTTAAGGTGTTCTATTACCTTCGAAAAATGCTGATCCTGTTTATAAGCCTCACTCCAACTGGATACTTCCTCTGGTGAGATCCCGACAACCACATTGTAGGAGGAAGAGCTCCCGAACTGCACTGAAATCTCAGTTCCATCTTGCGTACGAACAGTAATCGGACCGAGATCAATGGCATCATCCGTGATGTCGGAGTCGGCTGCATTGACATAATTTGATGCA